AACTGCCATGGGTTATAATCAGTGCAAATAAATTAAATATTTAAAAATCTATATGTTTAACATGCTGTATTTGGGGCAATTGTATACTGGAAGGAAACTCTAGAGCTAGGAAATGATGGCACCCATTTCCTGGCTTCATGTGTGAATTAGCTTGAGGAATTACCCTCTTGCTACAATCTTCCTATTCCTGGTTTTTACCAAAATAGGTCAAATAAATTCAAAAAGAGAGTCAATATCTAAAACACATAGGATTTTTGTTTTACATTCTGACTCTGGAGTTTTGGATTCTCTTAAACTCTTTGTGTCAATGTATTGAATATTCTATGTTCAATTGAATTTATTTATGACATGATTTTTTCTTTGTTCAATATGTTATTCTTATTGAATAACATTCAATAAGGAGGGGCGGGAAAATATGTGATTCTTTTAAGTTTTTCTTTTCATAGGTCTATTTTTAAAAAAGTAAATGTTCAGTTTAATTTTGTCTGTGCATGACACATAAAAATTTCATGTTGTAGTTAGTTTATTAAAACCTGCCTAAGAATTCTTGTCTTTCCTCATCAGGGGAATCTTCATTTAATTACTCATAACATGAGTGCTATATTTGGATGTGACATCTTGATTCATTATATCTGTTTTAGGGTTTTTTTTTTTCTGTACATGTTTTTATTTATGAATCATGTTTCATTTTTGCAAAATGCAAATTGTCTTTTAAACTTTACTAAATTTAAAAGGAAAGCCTTTTTGATTATTTAAACCTACTTTAAACTAAATTATGCTAATCAGCAAAATCATGAATAAAACCAAATATATTGACCAATTCTCAAATAATCTCCTACTGCTTTCTAGAGTTTGATTATTTATTTTAAAATATTTATTGTCGATAAATAACAGTAAAATACTTTATCTTACATTATGCATTTTCATTATCAAAAATAATAGCTACTTTTGCTTGCCATTTATAGTCTACAATTGCATAGATATTTAGATCTTCATTTTCTCTTTACTGTTGTCAAAGTACATGATTGTTCATCTATTCTTTCACTCTCCCTTTTCTCATCTATTCCTAATACACTCTTTAACAAAAGTAGTTTTCCTCCCAGTCATCTCTTTCATGGTCCCACCTACTAATCAGTTGTGCAAGCCAGAAATATGGAAATTATTGTTGAATCCTTCCTTTTCCTAGTTCAAAAATTTTAATTAATTGATGGAGTTACTAGCATCATTCAAATCCATCCACTTTTCTATTTTACACTGCTATTGTTAAAGTTCATATCACCAACTTTTCTTGTTTTCCAATCCTCTGAGAGGTTATTTGCATTACTCTTACTTAAATAATTGCACACACTATAGCCAGAAATATGTTGTTTTCTTTCTGAAATTTTTAACCCATAGTTAATATTAACTATTTTCCTAAGTAAATAGCTACAGTCTTAAGAAAATGACTTCATCATGTTTGTATTTATGCATTTTGTTGTATATCTTCTCTCTCTATCTTGTTACAATTATGCAATCTACCTGCATAATTGTAAGTTTTAGATATGAGTACATTTATGCTAGTAATTATTTTTTATTAAAGTTGAGGTATCATATGCAAAAGAATCAAGCATTAATATATGGTAAATGTGCTCATGTATGCATTCACTAAACATATTTTCAAATCTGCTAGGTAAAATTTATTTCATTATTAAAAAATAAGTGAATATTTATTTTTTAATATGTCATGATAAGTTAGAACTTTCATTGAAATTTCTGTGATATTTCAGCACCAGTTCCATGGTCGTATTATATTTGGAGAAAAAAAATCGACATAAAAAGAAATACAACATATTTTTTAGAGAATTATTCATGATAACCTTGCTCAGAATGTATAAAAAATAGTATTTGAGGAGCTAAACTAATCAGAATGATGATAAGATGGGCAGGTAAGAAAAAAGTAAAAATTATTAATATGTATATCTCTCTAGTTTTAAGAGATTATTGCTTGTGAATCTTATGTACTTTTGGCATCAGGGTATAACTTTGATTTATTTAAATTTGAAGGAATAAAAAGTGACCACCTCCCATTTAATGAGTTATATTAACTACCAATTATTTATTTATATTTCTAAAATTATAATATTGGAAATCAACACTGCTGTTTTAATTTTAACAGTATTTGTACATTCTAATAATAGTATTAAACTTAAAATATTGCAATAAAGTGAACTTAAAATTATTTTGAAGATATTTCTATAATGTTATAATTTATGGGGGAAAATATATATTTTAGGTTTTTTTGATGCTATTTTATTTTTTTTTATTTATTTATTTTTTGAGACAAAGTCTCACTTGTTGCCCAGGCTATAGTGAGTGCCGTGGCATCAGCCTAGCTCACAGCAACCTCAAACTCCTGGGCTCAAGTAATCCTTCTGCCTCAGCCTCCCGAGTAGCTGGGACTACAGGCATGTGCCACCATGCCCGGCTAATTTTTACATATATATATTAGTTGGCCAATTAATTTATTTCTATTTATAGTAGAGCTTGCTCAGGCTGGTTTTGAACTCCTGACCTCGAGCAATCCCCCGCCTCGGCCTCCCAGAGTGCTAGGATTACAGGCGTGAGCCACCGCGCCCGGCTAATGCTATTTTAGACTTTTAAGTTCAATGTCTTTCCATCCTTAGTAACTTTACCTAGTAGAATAAATAAATTTGAGAACTTGGTCTATTAAAACAAAATATCAGGAATAAGGATAGGAAGCAGCTACCCCTGATCCTAGGGACTGATATTAAATGAATCTCTAGAAGAAATCTATTTATAGTTTAACCACAAAAAATTTTTATCCAGAATAAATTATAAATAGAAGAGAATTATAAAGAAAGAAAATTCCAAAAATTTCTTTAGTGGTCCCCTTGAATCTCTTGGGGTGAGAGCTTACCTACACACACAAGGAATGAAACTCCTTAGCCAGGGCAGGAAATTATAGGCAACTATGGGCTGAATCATTCCCAGATCTCACACAAAAAGTGAATTGTTCAAATTCTGACAAGGTAGAGTGAAATTACCTCTTTGAATACCTGGACATCAAGTAGAGACAACAGAAATTCAGTGATTTCTTATTAGGGCTAATAGAGGCCTAGAGTAAAGACTCTAGGTCTGCAATTAACAAAGCTTAAAAGCAAGTCTTATAAGATATCCAGATAATTTTCAAGTTATTTATTATAACTATAGACAAAGTAAATTCCCATGACCTTAGAGGAAAACAATAAAATAGAGACACTTAAGAATGTTGAGTATGTCAGGAGAAGTTACTAGACAAAAGCATGCATAGCAAAATGTTAATGAGAGAATCTGGGTGTGAACATACAGTTTTTTTACGTCAAAAATTGTTTTAATTTACAAAACAATAAAGACTTTTCTTTAAGTCTTATACTTAAAAAAAACCAAAACAACAATGTAGGTCTGAGCCATAAGAAAAAAATTATGCAAATTTAAGAATATAACCATACAACATATACTCTCAAAACACAGTGGAATTAAACTAGAAATTGATAAAAGAAAAATATCTGGAAAACACTAACATCCTTGGAGATTAAACAATACACTTATAAATAATAACACATGAGTCAAAGAAGTCTCAAGAGAAATTTAAAAATATTTCAAACTCAATGAAAATTAAAATACAATTTTTCAAATTATGTGGGATGCAATGAAAGCAATAGAGGAAAACTTATAGTACTGAATGCACATATTAGAGAAGAAGAAAGATCTAAAATCAATAATCTAAGCTTTTACTATAGGAAACTTGAAAAAGAAGGACAAATTAGCACAAGAAAATAAAAAATAAAAAATTAGAGTAGAGAACAACGAAATTGAAAACAAAAAAAATAAACAAAACTATCTTTATTCACATATAACATATGATTGTCCATTAGAACACCTCAATTAATCAACAGAAAAATTCTTGGAACTAATACACATTATGGCAAGTTTGCAGGATACAAGTTAACATACAAAACTCAATTGCTGTCTTAAACATTAGCAACAAACACTTGGAATTTAAAATGAAAAACGCAGTACCATTTACATTAGCATCCAAAAATGAAATACTTAGGTAAAAATCTAGCAAAATATGTACAAGATCTATATGAGGAACTTTGACGAAAAGTTCTTTCATTGTACATTAAATGGTTTAGTGGTTTATAAGTAGATTATGACATGATAACGCATTATATATACCCTAGAGCTGCCACTAAAAATAAGTCAAATAAACAGAGGAATTCATAGAGAAGATAAGTATGATACATCAAAAATATCTGAAAAACCGGAAAAGAACAAATAATAGATGAGACAAATAGACAATCAGAGCAAGACAGTGAGTCCCAGATATACTATCTTCTCCAGCCAATACTGCCTCACCTCTATGTCTCTTCCTCCAGCCTTAGTGTTTCTTTCAAGATGTACTCAGTTGTCTCAGGTCCCAAAGCTATTCATTTTTTTTTTTTCTCTATATTGTCTATCTCTCCCCACCCCTACCCCATCCCTTCTTGAGAATTCAGGATTTAGCTCCTTTAGCTGTAAAGGGAATTTCCTTTTCAATGAAATATGCTTTTATGTTAACACTGAATTACCTGACTCTATATACACCTCATCTAAATCCTGCATGTGCTCATCCAACCTACAAATATTCTTTTATTTTTTTTAGATTTAAGTATTTATTATTATTTCTACCATAATCCCACATATGCAAGAAGTAAATTTAAAAGTTGTTTCTGTAGTCTTATTTTAAAACAACTCTTCTATTTAGCTTTATCTCATGATATTGTTTTTATTTTTGTTTTTGTTTGGTTTGGTTTGGGTTGTGATTCTAAGAATCACATCGTTTATTGCTTTTCTGAATCTGTGGACTCCTGACTTTATATTCCCCTTCTTTGAGCATTTTTTTTAGGTAATATTTAGCCATCTTTTCTGTATCAATTTAGGAACTGGACTTCTCTACACAAAAAAGGGATCCAACTATACAAGCTTAAAAGACAGGAATTTATTTTTCTCATGGAATTGGAAGCTGGAATGGGCAGTCCAGATCTCATTCAGCCATTTTTGCAAGAAAAGCCTCCTTCTTTCAGTATTTAAGTTTCTGTCACTTTTTTTCCCTTATCTGAGAAGGCTGTTCTCCTTCATCCTACTATTTGTATTCTGGGGCAGGGAGGGATAGGAAGGGTGAGACAAAATGCCAAAGGGATATGCTTTTCAAAAAGGCTTTTCTAGAAACACACATCCACTGACACTTCACATACTTCTGTCCACAACTGTAGTGTATGGCCACTCTGGCTGCAGGAGAGTCTGAGGAGGTGAGTATTGCTTCTTTCAACAAAATTGCTCCTAGTAAAGGAAAACGGAGACACTGGAAATTAGAAATGCAGCCAGCATAGTTTGCCTCAGGTCAAAAGATTTCTTTTATAATTTCTTTCCGTGTTCCTCAGTACAATCATAATAATAGAACCTCTTTTATCTAAAAATAGCTTATGCTTTCCAAGGAATATGAAGAAACCATTCCACATAGACATTGCTCTCTAGACAAAATCTTTGAAAGACTACCTGTGTACCTATCTTCTACCTGAGGACATGCATAAAATAAATATTCCTAAAACACTCTCCTTCTTCAAGAAACCTCAAGTTGATATGAAATCAGAATCCAGATAAACTGATTCTCCAGTTTCTTTTTTTCTCTGGATGATAACATTTTGTCCATTCCAGAGCCCTCCCTCACAGATCTGAGCTGTAAAATCTTTCAACTTTAGACTTTCTTAAATCTGTCATTATGCTACATCATGGGAATTTATAAAACCATAATTTGCTTTAGACATAGACATTTCTAGTATTTTAAAGTTCTGCTACAAAAAATAATATTCATGATGTGTTTTAGTAAATAGTTTAAAATGTGTAATATCTGGGGCCGGGCGCGGTGGCTCATGCCTGTAATGCTAGCACTCTGGGAGGCCAAGGCGGGTGGATTGCTCGAGGTCAGGAGTTCGAAACCAGCCTGAGCAAGTGCAAGACCCCGTCTCTACTATAAATAGAAATAAATTAATTGGCCAACTAATATATATAGAAAAAATTAGCTGGGCATGGTGGCGCTTGCCTGTAGTCCTAGCTACTTAGGAGGCTGAGGCAGCAGGATTGCTTGAGCCCAGGAGTTTGAGGTTGCTGTGAGCTAGGCTGACGCCAGGGCACTCACTCTAGCCTGGGCAACAAAGCGAGACTCTGTCTCAAAAAAAAAAAAAAATGTGTAATATTTGGTAATTATTTCACTGTTATTTATTATACTCAATCAATCTGAACACTTTCTTTTTTGTCTTTTGGGAGCTGATATAGGAAACTGGAAATATGAAAATAAGTATGAAAATAAAATAAACTTTTAAATCAAATGTTTATAGATTTTTTGTTTATAATTTTCATCTCATTTAGCCATTAGACTATGGTTCTTTATTTTTACTAGCTTCCCCATTAATTCATTTTACTTTTTCCTGGATGCATTTTAAAGTAGATACAAATATCCGTGTATCTATCTCTGCATTCTGCAGTATATAGAGAGTTTAATATTTATTTGAGTTTTTTATTGGTTGGTTGATGTAACATTTACATACAATAAAATGCACAATTTCAAAGTGTACATTGGCTGATATTTTGTTTTTTTTTAAGACAGTGTCTTGCTTTCACCCAGGATCTAGTGCAGTGGCATCATCGTAGCTCCCTGCAACCTCAAACTCCTGGGCTCAAGCAATCCTGCTACCTCAGCCTCCTGAATAGTTGGGAATACAGGTGTGCACCATGATACTCGGCTAATTTTTTTATTTTTAGTACAGATGGTTCTCACTCTTATTCAGGCTAGTCTCAAACTCCTGAGCTCAAAACAATTTTCTAGCCTCGGCCTCGCAGAATGCTAGGATTACAGGCGTGAGCCACCATGCCTGACCAATTGTCTGAGTTGTGAAGAATGAATATCATTATATAAATGAAATCTTTATCAAGATAGAGAATATTCCCATCACTGACACATTTTCTTAATTTCCCCTCCCACTCAATTCTTATCCACACCCCTTCAAAGGCAATCAGCATTATGATTTTTTTCCCCATAAACACCAGTTTTATCTGTTTTACAAATTCATGTAAATGAAATCATTCAGTATACACTCTGGAAAAGGCTTATTTCATGCAATAAAATATTTTCTAGACTTATTCATGCCATTGTATGTATCACTAGTTTGTTCCTTTTCATTGCTGAGTAGTATTTCATTGTATGAATTAACACAATTGTTTAAAATAATTCTATTAAAGGATACCTGTAATGTTTCTATTTTAATTTTTTTTTATTTTTGACCATGATGAAATAAAATTTATATGAGTACACATCTACAGGTATTTTTGTGAAAATAAGTTTTCATTTATATTACATAAATGCCTAAGAGGGGAAGGCTGGGTCACAGGATAGTTTATTTTTATTCAAATAAAAAAGAAAAAATAACTTCCATATTATACTCTAAAGATTTTATTTATATAGTAATATTCATTCATCACAACTCAGACAATCAGTCAGGTGTGGTGGCTCATGCCCGTAATCCTAGCACTCTGGGAGGGCAAGGCTAGAAAATTGTTCGAGCTCAGGAGTTTGAGACTAGCCTGAACAAGAGCGAGAACTGTCTCTACTTAAAATTTAAAAAAAAAAATTATTCTAAAGAGGTTTCTAAAGAGTATTCTAAAGCGGTTTTATCATTTTATATTCAACCACCTATATATGAGAGGTCTGGTCCATATTCCTATCAACATTTGATGTTAGCGGTCATTTTCACTGCAGACATTCTGATGGATGTGCAGTAGTATTTCATTACTTTTCATTTGTATTTTCTTGATGACTAATGATGTCGATCTGTGCTTCTTTGACTTGGCCTCAGGTATGCATTGTTCCATTGTCAGCCAGAGATTTTTGTCAACATTTTACATAGAATTTGGAACTCCTCATCTCTGTATTTTCAAATCTAATATTTCCAATAGATTTTCTTTTATATTTGCTACTCCTCTGCTGATATTTCTTGTATTTTCACTCATTATAAGCATATCTCTTTCACTTCAATGATTATAGTCAAAATAGCTGTTTTAGTGTCTTTGTCTGATAATTACAACATCTGAGTTAATTAGTAATTACCATCTGTTGATATTGTTTTCTTTGCTACTAGGTCACATTTCCCAGTTGTTGAATAATTTAATTTTGTCCTCAACATTGTGAATAGTATGTTAGATATATTCTAGAATCCTTTATATTGCTTTAAAGAATATTGATGTTTTTGTTTTAGTAGGAAATTAACTTATTAGACAAATTTCCAACTTTCATGCCTACACTGAGTGGCAATTCATATCTTCACTCAGTTCCTTGTGCTTTAGTTAGTTGCAAGCTTCTTTCAATTTGACCTTCATCCCTCTGGTTCAAGGGATCATGCAGTGACTTGAGTTTGTGAAAGAATTAGGAATTCCCTCTTTATCTCTCCTTAATGGGGACTCCTTCCCTTACTTTTCAGCAGGTCTAGTTTCCTGGAGCTTCTTCACTTGGTTACTCCAACTTAAAAGACACTGTTTTTCTTTCAGACTTCTGAAATGAGGTACTGCCATTTTTGTGACTGGTTTTCTTTAAGAAAAAGCCACAAAAACATGGAAATCACTCCATGCTGATTGATTCTTCCAAGTGTTGCCTTCCCCCAAATTTTCTACTTTTTTAAGCTGTAGAGTTCCCAGGTAGTGTTGTGTTTTGCTTTATTTTTCCCCAAAGTTGTTAATAACTTATTTGTGTGAGGACTAATATGTTAGAGGTTCACTCCTTCATGTCAGGCATGAAATTCTGGTAGCATTATGTATAGACTTAACTGTGTCTGACTAAAACTCTGACTTCTAAAGTTTCACCAATATCAGTGAGTAGTTAAAGGAGAGGCCTTATATAAAAGTATTTTTATGGGGCTTTTCCATTTAAATGACACTACTGAACCAGCATCAAATGAATTCAGGGCATTTCTACTGTATCTGCTATAGGTAACAACTCCGTTAGTCCAATTATTCCACTAGTCTCTTTCATTTCTGCAATCTTGGTACTGTTTAGACAAGTAAAAAATTTAAAAAGAGGATATATGATTCAAGTAGTGGGACTGGGAAAAAACTAACATTACTGTGTCTACAATGTACTAAATGTTTTATTAGAGAAATGAACTCCAAATATTGGCTCTGCCTAAGTTTATCCTACCTACTGAATCTTTCTATGTGGCTCTGACTAATGAAAACTTGGACTTTGAATTCTCAAACATGATTTAAACTAGTATAAGTAAAAAGATGTTTAAAAAATCTATTCATTACATGACTCTCAAATTTAAAAATTTCCATGATAATTTAGTATTTGTAAACAAAGTAAGCTGGAATTTTAAGATACAATTCAGGAGACAGAATAGAAGACAAAATGGATGCATAAAATAAGTACAATATACAAAATAATTTCCTATCTGCCAAAAAAAAAAAAAAGATTTAAGAAGATACGATTTTCTTCATTTGTGCATAATATGGCAGCAAGAATAAATACGCCTTAAGATTTTTCCCAGGTTAATATTTTATGAACCTTTGTTTAACTTGCTGATTAAAATTAATTTCAATAGTCAACTTTCTTTCTTTTCATTTTCATATGAAATGGTTTTTATATCTCATGAATTAGTGATGGCATGTCTACTTCAGGTTTTAGAAATAATATACATTATTTAACTTAAACAATAAACTAATTTAGAGTATTTGTGATTATTTTACAGGTACATCATTATTATTATATATCTTGTAATAAATTAAGCAAAAAGAATGCAATTATTCTTTCAAATTATTCTGTTAATATTTTAATACATTAAAAATCACATTAAGTTTAAGATCAGAGTGAAAAATGTCCTTTATGTTTAATGAAATCCAATCATTCTTTATGATTAGCCAGCCTACTTTCATAAAGCCTTCCCCATATTCTCACCTCTTCTGCTGGCATGTCATTCACTTAGAATTGATCATGTGCTATCTTTTGATATCACTTTCATTTGTAGTATTATTTCCATTTTTCATGCATATCTATCTAAGTTCCCCTAAATGAACTTAAATCTTCTCAAAAAGATTATGTAGTAGTCCAAGTTATTCCTACGCAGGGACTCAGCAACATACATGCATGATCTGTTGACTGCATATAAAAATGAAATATATATCACTGTTTCAAAATATGAAATATCTCAATAACAGTTTAAAATGCTTAAATAAATTAATCAAAGTGAAGGAAAAATATACTTTGTTAATGTAAACCTTGATTTGATTTGGTAGTA